CAAAAGAATAAAGGGAAAGGTTGGGAGAATTATTTTTACACAGAGGGTTTTGTCACCATGGAATGCCCTACCTAGAACTATGGTTGAAACAGAATCCACTTTAGCTTTTAAGAGGGATTAGATAAATATCTGAAAAGGCAGGATTGTGACACTGATTCATTCTAAGAGATACCTAAAATATTGTGAAATAACGTGTTCTGTTCATATTGACATCCACGACAAGATAAGGAATTCACAAACAGAGGAAGTGAAAACAATGTACATAAGGTTACAAAGTTATCAGAAACAAAATCTCCATGGTTTGACTAGTTCCTAAGAAATATGTTAAAAATAAATGCTTCATTGTGCAGAGGACATGAAGGGAGGGATTCTGAAATCACTGGTAAATTCATTAACCTCGGCACAAGAATGCTTCTGCAGTTTGTTTATCTTGTAATTTTATTTTTCCTAATTGCCTGGTCATGGTCCAATCTTTCTTTATCATTCCTCAGTCACCTCTTTGTATTGATATAAGACAACACTGTCTACATTTTCACAGACTTATGGCAAGAAGTGTTTGCAATGAGCATAAAATTGACTTTTTTTAAAAACTTGTGACAAAGAATGGAACTTTAGTATGTTTAGCCAGAGTAGATCTTGTATTTATCATTTTGAAGAAATTCTAAAAGATACGCTCTACTGTCAGCTCTGATATATAGTAACAATTATTTCACAATTCCGAACAGCTATGCACTTCATATACTGCAATTCTCTAGTAATGCTCTGATGGCTATGAAAAAATATAAATGGCTACTCGGCACTAGTAACTATGTAATCATAATGAACCTTGCTATCCCCCTTGGCTCTCATTCCCATCTTAGCTGTCAAGCAAGTATTGTTAAGAGGTGTGGGGAAAAGGCAGGATTTTGATACTGATTCATTCTGCATTAGTTCTAAGTGAGACCTAAAATAGAAATGCTCGAATATTGTGAAATAAGTGTTCTGTTCATATTGGCATCCCTGATAATAATAATCCTCGCATTTGATAAGGAATCAAAAACAGAGGAAGTGAAAACAATGTACACAAGATTACAAATTATTAGAAACAAAATCACTATGGTTTGACTGGTTTCCTAAGAAATATGTTAAAAAAATGATAAATAAAATAAAATTAAGCGCTCCAAGAAGCCATCCGGTGTGAAGGGCAATATATAAATGCAAGTAGTTGTTGTTGTTAAGAACCTCAGGATGTCTTCCTGATATGAAAGGCGCTGTATAAATGTAAATTTGTAATGTATTGTTTAACTTCTCGTCCAAAAGACGACACCTCCATTGATGAAGTGCTCTCCCAACACTCCACTGTAATGTCAACCTAGGCTGAGCTTAGGCCCAAACATCAATAGATGGAAAACCTCAGATACATAACTAAAGCAGTCACTAATGCAGGGAAACTTCAATATGCCATGTGTCTCATTTCTTTTAATACCATCTGCATACTCACACTTATGTAACTAACCCCCCACCCTCTCCCGTGTGATGACTATTTTATCCTGAATGAGCTCAAAAGTGAAATATTTTAATTAAATCATTTACACTTCATAATTAACATTCTCAAACTGATGAAACGCATGTGGGCATAATTCCTTGAAGATCATTTTTGTCAGTCCAAGGTCCGAATACACACAAGCAGAGTTCTGAAAAATGTAATTTAATGATTGCCAAGTTATTGGTTCTAGAAACAATAGCAAACTAATCTAGACATTGGCAAATAGACGAGCCTGCCATGAAGCTGCCTCTGCCTCCAGGATGTTCAGCTGACCTGATGTTCAGGAACCTGGAGACATTCATTTGACCAAACCCCTCTAATCGGGATCCTGATTAAGCAGTTGGCAACCCCTTACCAATTACCATTGAGTGCCCCTTGATACACACATAATACATAATGGTACAATTTTTATTACTGGTGAAAATATAATTTTCAGGGTCTGTAAAATTACTACTATACCACAGGGTAAATTATTGATTAAGTAACTATAAACATAAACCCTCATTCTTGTTAATGAATTAAAAACCCTAGACATGTTTGTACCAAAGCGCGCAGTCCTAAAACACGTCCACATCAACTCCCCCACTCACAGTCACGGCCACCCACTCGATTTGGTGATCACCCGGGGCCTCAGTGTCTCGGATGTCACCATTACCGACAAGGCCATCTCCGGTCACCACTTCATCTCCTTCACCACCTCCACCCCCCTCCCTACCTCCACCAGACCCACCACCATCTTCTACCGCCCCTGGAAGAAGTTACCCCCACAATCCCTCACCGCTGCCTTGGAGTCCTCTGAACTCCTCTCCCTCTGGCCTTCAACCCTCACTGACTCCTCTTCTCCTCTCACCCTCCTCCACAAAACCCTCTCCTCCACACTCGACACTCTTGCCCCCATCACCTCCCGAACTGTCTCCTACTCTCGCTCCTCCCACTGGTTCACCACCCACCTCCGCTCACTGAAGAGCCAGGTGCGGGCTGCTGAACGCACCTGCCTCAAAACTGGCCTAACGGTCCACCGACAAATCTGGCTGGACCTCCTCAAAATCTGCTGCTCCACTCTAGCCTCGGCCAAGTCGTCCTTCTACTCCAGGATAATCCTGGAGGCGAAGAACAACCCCAGGCTTCTGTTTTCTACCACATCCCGACTTCTCCATCCACCCCGCCACCCCGTGCAGGTCATCTCCTCCAACCTTCACTGCAAGGAGATGCTGAATTTCCTTGAATCCAAAATCAAGGGAATCCGCTCCGCGGTCACTCCCCCTCCAACTTCCACCCACCCCCACCCACTCCCTCCCACACTCCGACTCCTACCCATCCTCCCCTGCACACCTTCGTACTCGTTTCCCCACCATCTGTCACCAAACTCATCCTGTCCCTGAAACCCACCACCTGCTCCCTTGACCCCATCCCCACTCCACTCCTTATTTCTCAGCTCCACCTCCTTGGTGACATCTGTCCCTCTCCTCTGGCTCTGTTCCCATTCCCCTAAAAACTGCCATCATCACTCCCACTTTGAAAAAACCCTCCCTTGATGCGTCGCAGCTATCAAGCTACCGGCCCATCTCCAACCTCCCCTTCCTGTCCAGGGTCCTTGAAAGATTTGTGGCCCCTCAGCTGCACACTTTCCTCTACACCCATGTATTATTCGAACCCCTTCAGTCGGGTTTCCGTGCTGCCCACAGCACAGAAACCGCACTGGTCAAGGTCACCAATGACATCTTGACCATCTGTGACCAGGGCTCTCTCTGCCTCCTTGTCCTCCTCGACCTATCGGCAGCATTCAATATGGTCGAACACGCTATCCTCCTCCACCGCTTGTCCTCCCACCTCAACCTTCAAGGCCCTGTCCTTGAGTGGTTTAGGTCGAACCTCTCCCACCGTCTTCATTTTGTTTCCACAAATGGCTTTTCCTCCACCCCCCGCACTGTCTCGTGTGGTGTCCCTCAGGGCTCTATCCTCGGTCCCCTCCTCTTCACCCTCTATATGCTCCCCCTTGGTGACATCATCCGCAGACATGGGGTTAACTTCCACATGTATACGGATGACACCCAACTCTACCTTTCCTCCTCTACCCTCAACTCCACGACCACCAATGTCCTGACAGTCTGCCTGTCTTGACATTGAGTCCTGGACGAGAGACAACTTTCTTCAGCTCAACGTACGTAAAACTGAGGCCCTTCTGATTGGCTCGTGTCAGCGCTTCCGCACCTCAGGCGCTGACACCATCAGCATCCAAGGCTGCACTCTCCACCTCTCAAAGCCAGTCAGGAACCTCGGGGTTCTGTTCGACCCTGAGTTGTCCTTTCTTCCCCACATCTACGCCACAACTGGCACCGCCTTCCATCACCTCCGGAACATCGCCAGACTACGGCACTACCTCACCCCTCACGCTGCTGAAACCCTGGTCCACGCCTTTATCACCTCAAGGCTGGACTATGGGAACTCTCTCCTCGCCGGCCTTCCCGGTACCTCCCTCCACACACTGCAGGTCATTCAGAACTCTTCAGCTCGTGTACTGTCCCGCACCAGGCTTCGGGACCACATCACTCCCACCCTCGCTCGCCTCCACTGGCTCCCCATCCCCCAGAGGATCGAATTCAAGATCCTCATCCTCGCCTACAAGGCCATTCACGGCCTTGCTCCCTCCTACCTCTCCGACCTACTATCCCCCTATCTACCTGCCCGTACCTTCCGTTCCTCTGGCTCCGGTCTGCTCCACATCCCCCGCCCCAACCGCCCTACCATCGGAGGCCGGGCCTTCAGCCTCTCAGCCCCGAGGCTCTGGAACTCTATCCCCCAGTGCCTTCGCCGCCTCCTCCCTTTCCTCCTTCAAGGCCGGTCTCAAGACCTTTCTCTTGGACCGTGCCTTCAGCTCCCCTCTCGACTCTCTACCCCCTCCTCGCTCCCTCCATTCCCTCCCCTCACCCTGACCATTTCCCCCCTCCTCTCTCCCTTCCCTCCCCTCACCCTGGCCATTTCCCCCCTGCTCGGGTCCTGACCCAACTGTCCAGCGCTTTGGGACATCCTCCCGATGTGAAAGACGCTCTATAAATGGAATCTTGTTGTTGTTGTTGTTGTCATCATACAAGGTGAAATTCATACTCTTCCCCAGCCCACAAATACCTTTTTTTTACTGTTTACCTCAGCAGCAAAAACATACTGTTCAGCATTATAAAGACTGCAAATTCTGTCCTATATGACAAATAGCATCAGACAGATATTACTGGAGGTAACTGTCTCCAATTATTGAATTAAGGACCCAAGACAAGTTCATTCTAAAGCATAGTCTCAATCATAGTCATGCAGCAGATAATGAATTGAAAATATTATTGTTATCACTTTGAATGATTGAATGTCACACATTTCACCCCAATATGTTTACAATGGAACTCGTGCCAATTGTCTCTGAAAGATGGCAAATGGGAAATGACATGAATTACCATTTATTTATCACACAGAAAGAGTGTCTTACCAGAAAACACACTGGGGATCTTGGATAAAAAGCTTTTGACAGTACGGATTGGAATTCCATTTTTCTCATCTTGCATACGTGCTATAATGTCTTCCATCTGTAAAACAAACACAACAAATGCTTAATAAGTTGCTTAGGCACTGCATAACCCTAAATGTACTTTGTAAATAAAAACTGATATGTGTAAAATAATAAGCTACAACTCTCAGGCTCAATATACTTACTCTTTTGATTTGACCTATACAAGACTAATCGTAGAAAATTGCACCTACGCATTATTGCCTGAAGCATGCTTTTTTTAATATAATCACTGGTACAATTTGTACTGACATAAATTATTTTTTTTCCATATCCCAACACTAAAATTGAGTTTTGGGCAATCATATTTCTTACAACAACTAGACCCATCACTTTCAGTTGCACGAATCAGTCACTAAAGACTTGAATCATATTTCTGCTTATTCTCTTTTTTTTCCAGTAAAAGTAAATTCAGTTCCATGGATTCTTTGTTAGAAACATAAAAATATACAGCGCAGAGGAGGCCATTTGGTCCATCAAGTCTGCACCAGCTCACAAATCGAGGCGTTCTACTTTGCTTTGAGAATCATCTCTATTGATCTTTTTCTATACTTTTTCCTGTTGTTTTTTCAAAGGTAGTTTGTCCAAAACTGAGAAAAACATTCAAAATATGCCACAACTACTATGCAAGATTTGAATGAGCTATTTTACCTTTGATGCACTGGAACATAAAAATGTGAGGCTCAAACAAGGAAAAGTGTAATTTGACACATAAAGCTCATTTCCGTGCAATCTTCTCTGCCATTGACCCACCTAACCTATTTCATCTGCTGAGGAGGTTCTGAGCAATGTCTCAAAGAAGTAAAGCAAGCAAAATTCCAAATACCTAACCACCCCTCCTATGTCTTTCTGTTCATCCTTGACTGGCTTGGTTGTCCTTAACATGACATGAATTTCCAACGTGTTTTGTGTTTAGTGTTTAGGAATCAACAATAAAATGCAAGGATTCTTCTTCATATTTCTCGGATCACTTTTTCAAGGGTAATAACCCTTTCAAAAATAAAATTTAAAAAAATTAAAGATTTGGTCACTCAATCTGCCACTAGTTGTGAGACACTGCTGTATACAATTGGCTGCTGCGTTTCACCCACAAAATTTATAGGATATTCTGTGAAGGCTTTGAGACATCTCAAAAGTGTGATAAGGTACTATATCAAATAAAAGGATTATTATTATCATAATAATCCTTGCATTTGATGTAGAACCTATAATACGAGAACATCCCAAAGTGCTTGACAAAATATACAGTCAATTCACTTTACAGTGTATTCTGTGAAGCGCTTTGAGACGTCTAGAAGACGTGAAAAGCACTATATCAAATGCAAGGATTATTATTATTATTATAAAGTGACTGTGTACTTATAGGTGAACCTGGCAGCCAATTTCCATACAACAATGTCGCCAAGCAAACATGAACTGAATGACAAATTTTGCCAGTTGACTATAGTTTGGGGCAATACCATTAAACACATTACACAGATGTTGGGTATGGGTATTTCAAAACACATTTTAACGTTGTTCTTTGATTAATGAATGGAATGTGTTTAGGAATTGCACAGTCTTGATCCCAATATTATAAATGGCATCTTCCAGCAAATTGTTGAATGGCAAGAGATCCATAATAGGCCACTGTAGCACTCCACTTGTCACTAGTCTGCCCCATCCCCCCAACAAACACAGCGCCATTTCCAGATACTGTCACCATTCAAAATGGAGTAATTTAACTAAAATAATGCCACTACTTCAGGTCTTCAATCCCTATTTAAATTTCCAGGGTATGGGATATTGTTAGCACAATAAACCTGATTGCAAAGCTGCTGTTATGTTGTCAAGTGTGTAATGGTGTCAGTGTGTCATCCCATGGGCAATTGGTAATGTCAAAACTGCTTGGGAATGGTTTTCATTGCAGCAAATAGAGCATCTGCTGGAGTGTGAGATTGCCCCAAGTGGCCAGCATGGTGACGTTTCACCACATGCTGTCTGCAACTGTGAAACGAATAATTGAGCTGACCGACAAAACTCTCCCAAATGATGAGAATGACTCACTGTTACTTGCAATGTTGTGCTTATTCTGCTTCATTGTACAATTCATTGATTTCTATTACATAGTAGGCACAATAGTAATAGACTTACGAATAGTGTACAACATGCAAACAGGCCACTCAGCCTAACCAGTGCATGCCAGTGTTTATACTCCACATAAGTCCTCACCCATGCTTTACTCCCTCCTATACCCTTCTATTCTCTCATGTGAAGGTCTGGCTTCCTCTTCAATGCATCTATGCTATCTGATTCAACCACCACTTCAGGCAGTGAGTTCCACAGTCACATGACCCTCTAGTTAAGTAGTTTCTCCTAAATTCTCTTTTAGATACCCTGGTTACTATTTCAGATTTGTGTTCCTCAGTTATAGACTACCAATTAGTGGAAGAAGCCTATTTATGTTAACCTTGTCAAACCCTTTTATAAATTTCCTATACTTCTATTAGGTCCCCCTTAAATGTCTCTTTCTCTAGCAGAAAAAGGCCAAACCGATCCAGTCTATCATAATAGCACTAACCTGCCAGCCTGGGTATCATCTTCATAAATCTACGCTGTACTCTCTCCATCACTGTTATATTCTTCATTTTGTGTTGAGACCAGATTTGGACACAATTGCATTTAGTATAGCACCTTTCACGTTGGCAGGATGTCCCAAAGCACTTCACAGGATTTACTGTGAAGTGGAGTGGCTGTGTATTTGTAGACAAAGGCAGCAGCCCATTTGCACACAACAGAATCCCCAAAACATCCATGGTCAGCCATCGGATCTGGCTTCCACACAGCAAAGTTTCCAGCCTTGGTGATAAGGCGAGCTGTTGTTGTTGTTATATTGTGAAACGATTGGATGTTTCAATGGATAATGGAATCTAAGAGGTGCACATTCCTTGCTCTCCCAGCAGCATGTTATTCATTTCTCAATCGTTGAATTCAATTCTCAAGCCTGAAGGAATAAGATGGTTTCATTTAAAACGCTATTATTTCCATCTGATTCCGCTCTTACCTACTTTGCTGGTAAAGCCAGACCAGCATCTCAAAGAGGACTGTCATTATTAACTTGAAACTGTATTAGAGAGGAAACAGTTGGTGGATACTTGACAAATATAAAACACTGTAGACTGGCCAGACCGTGTATGAAAGTATTACTTTATTCATTCCTGTTAAGTTTATTTTGCTTTTTAAGCTGCTTCTTTAATTGAAATTCTCAGCAGTTTTTGCAAATATGATGGAGTTGGACCAGAGATCTGAATTGGGTGATACTGTGTTTTATCATTTTGCATTACCTAAAAAAAATTTGCGCACAATTATCTATCTGTGTCCGTGTGGGAAATCAACAACAACAACAACAACAAGATTCCATTTATAAAGCGCCTTTCACGTCAGGAGGATGTCCCAAGGCGCTGCACAGTTGGGTCATGACCCGAGCAGGGGGGAAATGGTCAGGGTGAGGGGAGGGAAGGGAGGGAGCGAGGAGGGGGGAAATGGTCAGGGTGAGGGGCGGGAAGGGAGGGAGCGAGGAGGGGGAAGAGAGTCGAGAGGGGAGCTGAAGGCTCGGTCAAAGAGAAAGGTTTTGAGACCGGCCTTGAAGGAGGAAAGGGAGGAGGCGGCGAAGGCACTGGGGGATGGAGTTCCAGAGCCTGGGGGCTGAGAGGCTGAAGGCCCGACCACCGATGGTAGGGCGGTTGGGGCGGGGGACGTGGAGCAGACCGGAGCCAGAGGAACGGAGGGTACGGGCAGGTAGGTAGGGGGATAGTAGGTTGGAGAGGTAGGAGGGAGCGAGGCCGTGAATGGCCTTGTAGGTGAGGATGAGGATCTTGAAATCAATCCTCTGGGGGATGGGGAGCCAGTGGAGGCGAGCGAGGGTGGGAGTGATGTGGTCCCGAAGCCTGGTGCGGGACAGTACACGAGCTGCAGAGTTCTGAATGACTGTACAAATCAGCCTGTTTGACTGTACCAGCAAGTGACTGCTGCTGTTGTGGAATCAAGACACATTTTAAATTATACAATTATATGAAAATACATGCATTTATTGTAAAATTATGTGTAAAATACATACGTGTATACCCAGCAGGAGATATAAACCCGTTTCCTGTTTTAGGAAGAAGACAATAATCTCACATGAATATGATTATCTCTGAAGGCAAATATTACCATTACTGATAACATCCCTTTGTCACAGAAAATTAACTACCAATCCCTAACTGTTCAGCGCCTTGGGACGTCCTCCTGATGTGAAAGGCCCTACACAAATGCAATTTGTTGTTGTTAAATGCTTCAGTGCGATGAGTTTGAAGTTTTGAAATAAATCACACAAATAAGATAGAAGAAGAAAATGATTTGTGATCACTGATTTTTACTGAAGGATTTTTGTCAATGTGAAGCTGCTGTCAACACAGCTAATCAAATACTCTGTGATATCTTGAGAGAATATGACTCTCAGTCAAAATAAGTGATTCTTAGCTTGTATAGATAACTGGTGAGATAATGTTTGGAACGTGTACACAGCTTTGGGCACTCTGACTTCAAAAGGACATTGAAACATTGGCTCTATCTCCCTTGAGGCGGAGGTAAGCAGGGTCTCCTTGGAGGTAAGATGTCCATATGGTGACTTGCTTGGCAATAACATGTTGGAATTATCATTGGTTCTTCCTGGATGAAATCGCTGCCCTCAATACAATATTGTCAATAGGAGAGATTTCTTTACATGGGATTACTGGAAATCGTATGGTGCTGGTGGACAGCATAAGCAAAAGTCATCAGTGTTACTGACTACAAACCATCTATAAAAACAGTGCTTGCATTTGATATAATGCCTGAAACATCTCAAAGTACCACAGAAAGCTTCTGCAAAGCTCAATGAAGGACAATGATATGTGAGCGAACCCAACATCCAATTTCCACACAGCAATGTCCAATAAACAGCCATGAAGTGAAAGATCAATTTGGAGGATTGTTGGCCAGGTCACTGGGAGAAACTTC